CACAAGATTGTGTAACCATTGCCATTATAAAATTCTATAATATTTTCATCATCTTTAAAAGAAACCTGAACTCATCAATAGTAATTCCCCATTTTCTCCTTCCCCCTCCGCAGCCTTTGGCAACCACTAATCTACTTTCTATCTGTATGGATTTGCCTATTTTGGATATTTCATATAAATGGATTTATACAATATATGGCTGCTTGTATCTGGCTTCTTGCACTTAACATATTTTCAAAACTCATCCATATTGCAGCATATACCTGTACTTTGTTCACTTATTGACAGCTGAATAATGTTTTGTTATATGGATACACCACAGTTTTTAAATACATTCATCAGTGGATAGAACTTTGAGTTGTTTCCACTTTTTGGTTATTATGGCTATGAATGTTTGTGTACAAGTTTCTGTGTGATAATATGTTTTTAGTTCTCCAGGTATATACTTAGAAGTGGACTTCCTGGGTCATATGGTAATGTTACATTTAGATTTGAGAAATTGTCAAAAAATTTTCAGAGCAGGTACACCATTTTACATTCCCACCAGCACTGTATGAGGGTTCCATCTTCTCCAAATTCTCACCAACACTTGTTACTTTCTTTTCGATGATAGCCAGCCTCATGAATGTGAAGTAGTATCTCATTATGGTTTTGATTTGCATTTTCCTAGTGTCTATTGATCTAAGTGTCTAAGTATCTTTCCATGTATTTATTGGCCATTTGTATATTTTCCTTGGAGAAATATGTATTCAAATCCCTTGCCAATTTTTAAATTGGGTTGTCTTTTTATTGTTGACTCGTAAGCTTTCTTTATACATTCTGGATACTAAACCGTTATCAGATATATGATTTGCAAATATTTTCCCCTTTCTGTGGGTTATATTTGCATTCTCTTTATAGTGTCCTTTGAAGCATAATAGTTTAAAATTTTTATGATGTTCAATTTATCTATTTTATTCTTTGGTTGCTTGTGCTTTTGGTGTCATATCTGAGAAACCATTGCTTAATCCAAGGTCATGAAGTTTATACCTATGTTTTCTCTTAAGAGTTTTATAGTTCCTACAACTAGGCCACTGATCCATTTTGAGTTAATTTTTGTATACATTGTGAAGTAGGTGTTTAGTTTCATTCTTTTGCATGTGCTATTTTCCCAGTTGTGCCAGCATGATTTGGGAAAAGATTATTCTTTTGTCATCGAATTTTTTTGGACCTCTATTGGCTATCATCTTCAATTAGGTACTAAGATTTTTGAAGTCACGGGGCTTCTCTTATTTTTAGGAATTCCCCTCTATACTCATGTATATATTCAGTATGCCTTACCCATAGTAGGTGCCTAGTGGATATTTTACTAATGTCTCTTTCTCCAACCTACGTAAGTATTGCTTCCGAGAGAAGACAATTTGCTTATTGTTGCTTACCATGTTGCGCTACAGAGTAGATTGGGATTAATAAATATTTTTGGATGTATGAATTAATGGTTGCTTTTTTCTTTAGGATTTTGTTCTTGCAGCAGAATAAACATAGAGTAAGGCTCATTTTTTAAAATTGTAAGTCACAAGGAAAGAGATAAGTGAGGGACAAACATGACTCTATAGGATAATCCTAACTTTACTTTGATTCTTCTACCACACGATTCTACCATGTTCATTTCATATTACCTAGTTCTCTTTAGCTCATGACACACAACAGGTTTTGAATGAAAGAAAACCCCTTTAAGAATTGCAAACTTTACCCCAAAATCAGTAGCATTTCTATTCACCAATAGTGAACAAGCAGAAAGAGAAATCAAGAAAGCCTGCCCATTTACAATAGCCACCAAAAAAATAAAATACTTAGGAATTGCAGTGTTTTAGGTTATATACAAAAAATTTTTAAATCAAATTTCACAAATAACCCATGATAAATACATCAGAAACTACCATTTGTGTGTATTGGATCTTTGACTATTTTCTTGTCAAAGCAAAATTAAAAATGAGTTTCCTGGTTTTTAACAGATGCTAGTACTTCCTACTGGTAGACTTTGACAAGGCCTGAAAAGTGGAAGCCATAATTTGAGTAATGAGAAGAGGAAATGTATTTTGCTCATGGTTTCTGTGGCTTCAAAAGTGATTGGTAAAAAAAAAAAAAAAAAAGTTGGAAATACCCTCAGTGCCCAATTATAGAAGAATGGTGAATTGATCTATATTGATTAATGAAATGCTAAGTTGCAATTAAAAATGATGCTTGTGAAAATTGTATATCAATGAGGAAAAAAAAAACTATGATATATTATTACATATAAAAAGAAGATTATATTATGCAGTGATTGCAACTGGGTAAAGGTACACATTACTATGAACTAGGGTGATCAACCATTCTGTTTACCTGGGACTATCTTGGTTTCAACATTGAAAATCCTGCATCCCAGGAAATCCTGGGTCTTCGGAAGACCCAGCCAAACTGTGATGGTCGACCATCCTATCATGAACAAGGAAAAGAAAGCAAACAAGAAATGAAAAGAGATTATGTCAACCTCCTACCGAGTACAATTGATTTTTTTAAAGTTTAGTTCCTTTATGGTTATGAACTTGTTTATAGAAAAATAAAAATTGAGAGGAAAAATTAATTTAGGACCAGAGACTATATCTTCCACTTCTTGGCAAAGCATGCTTGTTACTGGCCAATGTTATTATTTGATTCTATAAAGGGTCTTCAAAAAATTCATGGAAAGATATCTTTTAATTTCATTCTCCACAAACTTTTTGAAGTACCGTCATATATTGCCCAAAGGCTAATTGGGGAGAAGGCCATAGCAAGAATTTTTATTCTTCTTTAGTAGTAGACATCAAAAGTGTCTCCTATTATAAGTTGTGTGAGGTCAGTAAAAACTAATTATTTGAGGTAAAATTAGGAAACAATGGCTTTGAAGAATGATCCTCATATATATTTCAGAAGTGGAGAAGATAAGATAGACATATTGTATTTTTGTAGGTTTTTCTGATTTTTATTTTTTTCCTTCAAATTGCTATTGCCATACTCTTTTCCCTGTTCTCTAGTTCAAGGCTGGAGCACATGCCATATATTTCATTTATGGTCTGGAGTAGAGTGAGGAATATGTTATTGATGTCCAACCTATTCCATGAAAGTTTTCCTGGGAAGTGTGTGTAAGAACATACTGACACGAACAGTCAATGACCTGACATCTCACAGTTCAAACCCAGATTGGGGTTAAGTGAATTTGAAAAACTCCAAGATATAGGAGTCTCCCATGGTCTGACATTCTGAGAGGAAAGAAGAATGTTGGAATCATCTGTTGCAAACAAGAACACAAATGAAGATAGTTTTATTCATTTAGATCTAATTTTGAAGACTTTACAAAGAGAAATGTTCTAACTCCTTTTTTTCTAATTACAGGGAACATGTTCTATTGGTGGCCCCTAAACAAAGTGGAAATATCATAGGGAGTGGAAATTACACTGTCTGTATTCCTGCCACCATCTGGCAGCACTCAGTATGTAGCAAATGCATAAATGTGGTTGATAGATTATAGTGATGTCTTTCTAGGTTGACATTCTTTCAAGGCAAGGTACTACTATCTTTGAATATAAACAGGAATTGAAAAGTAGAGTGGCTATTGCTTGATGTTTTGTATTTTAATTATTTTGTTTCCAAGCATGATCTTTCTGAAAATGTCTGTAGCATTTAGTGTCTGCATTATATAATCCACCAGCTAATTATATATTAATGATATAAGTAGCTTCCCAAATGTTATGAATGTCTATGTCTTTTTATCCCCAAGGGGTAAAATCTGATTCTGACTCTTTTGTATTTCTCTCAAAGGCTGTTTAGTGCTGGTCAGAGAGTAGGTTCTTGGTAAAACCTGTTGACTAAGGTCTAGCAGTTTATGCAGACATTGGGTGGAAAATTTGGTTATTTTAAACATCACAGGATTTGAGTAAGAGGATCTGGGTATAAAACAAGGCTCTCATAATTACTCTCTGTGACTGTTGACAAGTTACCTTTACTTGTTTACAAGGTACTTTACCTCTTTGAAATACTTGTAAAATAGGGATAGGGATTCTTTCTTGACCATGGAATATTGAATGAAATTATTTGATAAAATACTTTGTCATCTGGAAGTTATTCTGCAAATACAAATATTGATTATTATTTGAGTACTTGTAAAATAGGGATAGGGATTCTTTCTTGACCATGGAATATTGAATGAAATTATCTGATAAAATACTTTGTCATCTGGAAGTTATTCTGCAAATACAAATATTGATTATTATTTGAGATTCGGATGGCATTTTCTTCAATCATTCTTTCTTCTCTTGCCTAAAGGCTAAAAGCTGGTAGGCAGTGCAATCAAGAGCCTAGAGCAGGAGTTAGGGAAATTTAAGACAGAGACATATCTGTGTGAAAGCTATGCTGTTTATACAAAGAAAGGGCTGGGTATTTGACACTTAGAGCTTTCCTAGTGGAGTGTGGAGGCTCAAATAATGTGCCGCCGTGCCAGTCCCACAGCAAGATAGATGGAATAAGTCCCTATCGCACCTCATTATTATTTTTTATTTTCCTTAAAACAATGGTGCAAAAGGGATTCTGCCAAAAATGTAGATGTGGAAGGAATTAAAGATAGTTTAGGGATGGCATGGAGCAATCATATATCTTTTCCCTCAGGTGCAGAGTCTCCCTATTGCTGATGGAAGAAATGAAAAAAATAGTCCTCCTGCTACTAAAAAGCCTATCCAAGGAAAAAGCTAGTAGGAAATCACATTCTGCAGCAGTTACTCTGATTTTTTAAAATGTAGACACATTGCCCCAAACAAGAAACATGACAACACAATCTGCTACAATGGCTACATTCTCTGAATGTGACAGAGGAAGCTGTGGTCACTCCATGCAAAGACCAGATGCAGATATGGAGGATATGTGCCTCAAGAAACAGGGGCGAATGTGTATGTTGAAAGCTATGAACACTAATGCTTGAAAAGGAAGCAGAAAACAGAAGACATAGTTTAAGGAGAGCTGTCATTTTCTATTGGTGAGGATTCCTGATCTTGGGGAGGTTCTGGAAAATTTATTTCTGTTTCTTCTTCTTCTTGAACTGGAATAATTTCAATGTCTTCTTCATTCTTTGGCTGAGAAGATATTTCAGTTAGCTCAACCATTTCTTCTATTTCAATTGCTTGTTCTTTTCTTTCTTCAGCTGACAGGAGAACCACATTCTAGAACACAAATTAAACAAACTTTTCCCGACCTTTACCTTTGGCACCTTTCTCAACCATCTCTACAAATATGTATCAAATACCTCCTAGTTTTTAGGCTACTGATGTTACTATATACCTTCAAATACCAGAATGATTTCTGAGGTGCTCAGCTGTTTATCAAATCACTTATCAAAACTCAAGTTTAAGTAAATTTTCAAGAGCAGCAGGCATTTGCCACTTTGCCTGTAATGATCACATAGTATTGGGAAAAGAATGCTGCAATTATAGAGGAATTTAGAGTCTAGTTCTGATTTGCCTTTAGTGAATATAATGCTGGGAATGTAATTCTCTCTCTGATCCTATTTTCTTCATTTGCAAAATGAAAGAATTAGTGATAATTTAAAAATCTATCATCTAAATCTATCGATGGTTCTGAAGCAGTTGTTAATAGATAAATCACTGGGGTATTCATATCTCCCAATTGTGGAGCCTCTTTGAATTTATTGTTTTGGAAGAGGAATTAGGTGAAAATGCGTAGGAGAAAGAGGGTAACACTGAGGAAGGAAGTCAAAGAACTAGTGACTTGAATCAGCCTCAACCTTCAACCATTTTGCTTTTACACATTAAGTATTGAATCACAAAATCAAGATGAAGTTGGAAGTGAAGCAGAAGGAAGGGTTAGTAAGAAGGTGCACATATTGTAGAACTGTGTCCTCTAACTATGGACTTATTTCAAATTTCAAGACATTTTTCTTCACTATTGGTATTTTCTGCTTTCCAGAAATATGAGCTATTATTGAAGTCTCATCAGATTACACTTTCATAAATTATTTTTTTGTAGGTATGGATTTTCTAGAGGGAGGTCATGGACACAGTGGCCACTACTTACAGCTTTGGGTTTGGAACACATTCTTTTCCATTCATTCTCAGTGATGCCAGCTGTCACAAGATTCTGAAAGAAGGCGAAGATCAGCATCACTGACAAAATGCCCTGGAAAACAAAAGGATGAAATAATAAAAGTGTAAAAATGTCACAAAGACTGTGGACTAACATTAAATGATTAAACGATCAATTCTTTAGGTAAGTAATGACTAGCTGCAAGAACTACCAGTACAGAAGATAGTGTCTTTATAACTCTAAGCATTTTTTTTTTCCCCTTTTTTGTCTTTTTTACTGACCGGTAACGGGATCGCAACCCTCAGTGCTGCGTCCGCACCGCGCTCAACCAGTGAGCGGGAACTGGTCTCCACATGGGATCCGAACCCTCTGCAGGAGCGCCTCCGCACTCCCAAGCGGTGCAGTATCCAGTGTGCCACCGGGCCAGCTCCAATAACTCTAAGCTTTTAACACAACTTCTGACATACAACAGATGGCGAACCCTCTGCAGGAGCGCCTCCGCACTCCCAAGCGGCGCACTATCCAGTGCGCCACCGGGCCAGCTCCAATAACTCTAAGCTTTTAACACAACTTCTGACATACAACAGATGGTTGTTGCAAGTTGCTCATAGAAAGTGAGGCAGTAATAATCAGTGGAAGAATAATTTTATGTTGGAAAGAATAAGTACTGAGTCCCAAATTAAACTGTATCCAGCTTTGGGTGATATGGTATCACATCAAGGAAACCTCTTCAGACTTGGGAGAAGCATTTTTTTCCCTCTTCAAACTCCACATTAAAAACTCCTTAAGGCAAAACATGTACATAACATCTTAGGTATTAATTCCATGTTCATCTTACTTAGTAATAATGATATTGATACCTTTAATGATGTTAAGAATAATTAATGTTAAGTCAAACATTTATATAGCACTTTCTATGCACCAGACACTGTTTCAAAGTGCATTGCATATATTAACTCATTTGTTTTTCAAAAGAACTCTGAGGAAAGTAGTATTATCATACCCATTTTACAGCTGAAAAAATTGAGGCAGAGTGTGGTTCAAATTCTTTCCCAAAGCCACAGAGCAGTAAGTAGCAGACCCAGATAGTCTGAATCCAGAGTTGGTGCCAACAATAAAAATGTCATACTTCCTTGCTGGAAAGAAATCCAATTTCACACTTACCAAAAATACAGATTGTGTGCTGTAACAGTACTGCATAGATGGAGAGTTTTTCTCAGCTGATTCACAGCTATATATGTTAATAAATGGCATGGGGCCTTTAATAAGATTCAGACTCTCGATTTTTAAAAAATGGGAAACTGTAATATTGAGTATGTCCATGATCAAAAGGATTATTCCAGAAATGGCAGCAAAGAGGCTTAATGAGTTCATTATAATTTTCCCTCTGACCTGAAAAGAAGACAAAAAGATTTATCAATTGAGTTTGATTTTTATTTGGAAATATAAGCTGGGAAGGAATTCTACATGCCATTCCCCTGACTCACAAAGGCACTACACCTAAATTATACTGAAGTTCTTCTCTCAGTTTGTTTTTAGCCTCTTTGTCACTATAAAATAAAACCATCACTCTATCCTGTTCCTTTCTCAGTCTTCCCCACCTCATTTTATGCCATCACCATCCACTCAGTTTATCAAGCCAAATTTCTAGGAGTGACACTTAATTCTTATATCTTATATCCTTGTACTTCCTTCTCTTCCACTGCCACCATCCTATTGGGCATTTAATAAATCTTTGTTGAATAAATGAACATAAACAGTATCCAGATTATCATCTGTCTGCATAAGAGGTAGACGGAAGAGAGAGGAGGAACTTCTTGCATTGCACTTAAGTGGGATGGTGTTGTGCATGTAGGTTGGGAAGGAGCAGATAGAACCTTCTAGTTCTGTACCATTGGATGGAAACAAAAACAGCAGCAACACCCTCACCACCACCACCTACTGCCCATCAACACAGGTTGCGATCAGCTCAAGTCAACCCTCTTTCAAAATAAAAGTAGGGCTGATGTCTCTGGGTAGCATAGGTAAGAGAATGTCAGTGTGTATGCTCTACTTTACAGGGATAATAAAAGGTTGAAACAGGAAAATACGTGACAGTACCATAATGGTATGAGATTACTGATGATTATTTTATGACACAAATATTTCATGTTGGGCTATCTGACCTACATATGGAAGGTCAGTAGGTCTGGCTACATTTGGAGAATAGAGTAATTTGATTTTCATAAATACTTCCCCCCAAAAAAAACTGAGTTTGTCAGGCCACTTTTAGAGAGAAACCATCTCAATTCACTCAGTTCCTTATGGACTTAAAAGTGACTCAATTTAGTAAATAAAA